TGTAATATGTAGTAAGCAGATCACTTCCTCTCAGAATGTCCCTATTTTCTGTGGTCAAATGTGGACAGAGACCAAATCTAAAAGCAGAGTGAAATGAAATAACAAGACCAAGAATCATAGTCACAATAAATCAATTTGCATTTTTAAATGGAGTTCCAACTGTTTGATCAATCACCCACAAAATATACAAGCATAAAAGAAACTTACACATTGTCTCTGATGAATGTACGGAGAGAGGAATAAGAAATGGATTCTGTGTATTTCACCACATTTTCCTCAAACTTGCTGTTTAAACGAGGGGGACGAAACAGCAGAACACACCTGAATGAAAAAGACAAAGAGAAGAAAAAGCGCAATCTTTGAGACGTTTAAAAATGTACAGTTCCTCTACTCAATATTAACATTTTCAGTCATTAAAACTGACATTTCACAGCCTATATGACGTGTGCACAACCCTCACATCTGTTCATATTTGGATAGCTTACCTTAAAAGTACCTAAGCTATCACATATAACATAATATTTGAGAAATATTTCAGCCTATATAATTTTTGAAATAGGTCCTTCTTTAGTAAGCACTACTTCTGACAGCAAATAAATACTGATCATAGTAGTCACTTCCTTCATGCTCTGTGTCATACGTACTCTCCATCTACGCCGTATTTCAGGCCTGTTCCCACATCAGTGGAATGAGCAAATCGATAGCTGTCCCTCAGGGCACTGGAGACCTTCATAAACTCTGCAAGCTGTGTACTGTCTTCCCCAGAGAAGAAGCCTGAGCAAAACCATGAACAAAGACACAAGAGGACAAAACTTGAAAGGAGAGAACTTAAGCCTCTTTTAGTTTCAAGAGAGATTCAAATGAATACAGAAGTCAAATATGATTGGTTTTGAGCTTCTGCTGCAGAAGCGATTTAAGATGTTTTGGCAGGTTTTACAAATTCAACTCACCCACCACACTGGCCTCATAGTTGTCGACAAAAGAATCCAAATCCGCCTCACTGGGCAGAGACACAGAACTTGGACCTGCTTGTTTTTTCATGTAGCTCACAATGCCATCTATTTCAGATCAAGTTATAGGTACGTAAGACACCAAAATAATTACAGCCAAAAAATAACGACAATATAAAACACACTGCCATTGAAAGGTTTGGGATCAGTAAGATTTTTTAAAAGAAATTAATACATTTAAATGGATCAAAAGTTACAGTAAAGACTGATGCATAATGGTACAGGATTCAAAGAATTCAGAAAAAAGTTACACGATTTCCACAGAAAAACTAAAGTTTTCAACAAGAAATGTTTCTTGAGCACCAAATCAGCAAATACAAATTCTTTCTGAAGGATCGTGTGATACTGAATACTGGAGTAATGGCTGCGGCCCTTACAGAAATAAATTATTGTTATGATATATTTGCTTTTTGAACAGTACTGTATGTATGGACACAAAATATCAACCTGCTATTCTGGGGCCATCATAAGATCCAGCTTCCCCTCCATTGCGGAAGATTTTAAGGGTGGGATACCCATTCACTCCAAAACGCTCACATGTCTCTGAGTTCACGGTGCAGTCAACCTGATCAAACATCAGGAAAGAGACACATTCACTAAACATATATAAAAACATAATCTTGCAGATTGAGTCACCTGCTTAACATTAGGGAGGCTAAAGATTTGTGCTGGGTAATAGGAACTGGTGTGTCCATCACTCCTCACCTTTGCCAGAGGCAGTGTCCCTTTCAGCTTTGTGGCAGCAGCCTCATATTCCGGAGCAAGCTGCTGACAATGACCACACCTGTGGTAACATCATACCAGGGATATTAATGATACATAAAGGCATTGTACTATTTAACTGCAATGGCAGCTAGATAGTTTCAGCTTCAGATAGATCTTATGGAGAAAATCCCTAATGTTATTGTTTAAATGAGAGAATTGTGCATTTGCATCATAATTTAGGTTCATGCACCGCCATGCATCATAATTTAGATTTATGCACTACATGCATTGACAACCATTGTCATTCTCCACATAGTCCAGACATAAACAAGGAAAACCCAACTTACGCTCTGGTCGCTGTACAAATAGTTAATTACAACCCTACTACAACCTGTCTTCAGATGGAATTATACTTTTATGCATTTATAACAAATACATCTTATCTGGGACATACCAAGGTGCGAAGAACTCCACCAGCAGAGTCTCATGCATGGCTGCGCTCCGGTCAAAGTCAGAGTCTCCGAGCTCGAGCACATCGCTGCCCTCCGCACACCACACAGTCAGTACCAGACAGATGATAAACCGAGGTAAACGCATTTTGACTCGTGTCAGCGGAGACTAGAGACGCGTGAATGTTGAAGTTGGCCCCGCTGCGCGAGTAGCAGATGTATGGATCGCCTGAAGGTCCATAAAAGCACCGTTCTTCTGGCAGAGCGCGTTTGATAAATTCAGTGCACTGGTACAAGGCCTTTACTTGGTATAACGTGCCTTCGGTCGCGTGGTGCACCAGCACATGGGATTTATTACACTCTAATCATTTAATCTTTTAGATACGGCTAGTTTATGAAAATCAATAAAGTGTTTAAAGACCATAAGTCAAAGGAGGGGAAGGTATGCAGTGATTTATTTTAGCACTAGGTGTCACCATTAATACAGACACATCTTATTTAGATAAGAAGAGGCTTTGGCCTGTCAAGAGGTTGCTTTTTCGAGATTTTGAGACTGGACAGACATTAAATCAGACAAAATATATACTATAATAATATTTAAGAAATATCACAATAGCAAGTGTACTATTGTTATGAATAAAATAAGCTCTTAAACAGGCCTTTGATTTTCAGCAGTGAAATATTGCTTTAATATAACAAAAGATAGCCTACTACTGAATAAGAAATTTTAGACAAGTACTGGTTTCAAGTATAGTGGTGTTTTCTTAAATGAATCCGTTTCGAATGAGATGACTGAGTGAGTGATTCAGTGACATGCTCATATCGCCAGTGTTGAGGGATAGGCATTCAAGTAACACAATCAGATGACTTTTTTCAAGTAACTAGTAAAGTAACACATTATTTTTAAATTGAAAAGAAAATATCTTAGTTACCTTTTCAAATAAATAAACGACACTTTAGACTGACAGCTCTCCTGTCCTCATATTGAGAGAAATCGGGTGTAAGTGCAGAGGCGTTGTGTGTACTATGTAAACATGATGGTTACTGTAGGCCTAGTTCTAGACTAAATGTGAACATACATTTTCTCATCTCACTTGCACAGATTTAGTAGCCTATTCCTTAAAATGAATAAAAACAGTGATATGCAATCTCGGAATATGAAGCAAACTTGCAATAATTAAATAACACAAATATCCTTTATGTATTTAATCCCATTTTATTAACCAATGTCTTTGCTGCTGACCTTCGATTTTCTAATTCAACCATACGGATAAGCAAAAATGATTTTAGATAAACATAACATTTGTGTTTCTTTCTTTCTTTCTTTCTTTTCCTGCATCCTATTTTTCACGCAATCCAGAATGGCAACACAGCTGAAAGGTTTGTTTGGGCTGCGTCCTCTACTGTACAGACGTGAAGTTACATTTTCTTCAGCCTGAGGCTTATTCATTTCACTTTTGGTGTGAAAGGGCTTTTTTTATTTGCCAAAAATAGACATTTATATTAAAAACAATTAAACAAGCCCAGCCCATATAAGAAAAAGTTATGAAAAGTAACACTAAATTAATGTAACACATTAATAATGTATAATAATGTACTTTCCATAAAAAGTATCAAAAATTAACACAATTAGTTACTTTTCAAGGGAGCAACAAAATACTGTATTGCATTACTTTTATAAGTAACTTTCCCCAACAGTGCTTGTCGTTGTTGTATAAAATATATTTGGGATGCAGTGCATCATACCTCTTTAGAAATGCAAAAATATTTCTGTGTACTTATTAAAAGATTTTCACAGAACAAGAAGTTACACAAAGAAACACATCACCTGGGGAATTTCAAGACCTACAGTACAATGTGCAAGTGAAGTTCCTGTCTTCAGATGATAAGCTAATGCCAAAACTGACTCAGCCTATCTTTTGCTGAGTGTTTTATTGAAACGGAAACCCTGTTTTCCTTCATTCTCGATTATTTCCTAAATTATAGTGTGTTATCTGTTAATACAATGCATGGAGCGGAAATACGTCCTGGAGCATCACTTATCATTAAAGCCAGCAGGAAACCATTCTCACGGACCCTTCAGTGCAATGGCTTACCAATCATAGTTGTTAAAGCCTTCTTTTGGCCAGCTATTTTTGAACAGACATTCGAATAGTAATTTAGAAAGAGGGATGCTTTGATGTCCCAGATCCTGAATTTTCCATTTCACTCCCCCATTTTAACCAAATCCCTTATTTAACTTTCCAGACCATCCTAAAACAGACAATCATTGTGTTTCAGTTTTAGCTACTCTTTTTTATTTAATCTCCAAACCTAAATCTGGAGACAATGGTGTAAAATCCCTTGTGAATCATTTTAATATGTGCTTACTGCGATGGCGGTATGTAATGAGGGATTAATTAACTACTGTATCTATTAAAAAAAACTCCTCCAAGTTAATCATTTTGATTTCTTTGTTTTGTAATGTTTGACCCCTTACATAAACAACTAAAATGGATAGTCACATTTCTCCTAATACGTTGTGTGAAAATTATGGGGAAAACTATATTTGAATAACATTTGTCAGCTGAGTTTTATGAAACGTTATAGAAATGTAATGTAAAACAGCTTGAAAGAAAAATATTATTAGGTTCATTACGTAATTATTCCCATTACTTTAACACATCATTGGGGTCTAGAACATGAGGGTTAACATTTATAAATATTTTAGTGTAACCTATAATATGTAGTGTATGGAAATGTCAATAGACATACATCTATTTAAGACTTCCATTTGTTAAGACTGTATTGTATAATGTTTTGTAATGACAGTTTTATGCCAAACTGTACTATACCTATACACTAAACTATACTTAGAAGAACTAAACAGTGGGAGGGAGAGAATACAGTAGGCGTAAGCGCTTGCCCACTCCTCGCGCACTTGCAACTCGATTGTCTTGAGGTTCTGTCACTGTCGCGCGCTCTCCAGCGCATAGATACAGAGAGTGATTTAGCACACACCGGTTTAGCGATCACTTTGGAAGCAGGACACAGCTTCCAAAGAAGTTTACAAAAGGACGTACATCTATCTGTAAGAGTATCTTGATTGTCCTCGGGACGGAGCACTCCAGAACATCGCTCAATAAAGTTCAATGCCACTTCTCCAGTAAGGTAAGAAAGTTTACGCTACTCACAATACAATTGAATGGAATGTTTAAGACTTTTCATACCGCAAAGGACATGATTGATTTCTTGATTGCGTTCAGTTTTTGTATAGCCTACTTTTCTTAGCATCTTTGTCCTGATGTTTTTTCTGTTGAAGTTTCCATCTTCTGTCCTGACCTACTTCTTGAAGTCTGGTTTTGATGAGATTATGTGATTACTTTTTCTTAGGGTTCACTCTCAAATTTACAATTTTCAAACAAACCATATCGTTCAAACCAAAAATTGTATAGTGTTTAATGTAAATGTACACTTCAAAACAGAATAAACCTTTATTGGTAGATTTCATTAGCTCACACAATAACTGTAAAAAAAACTAAGTAAATATCTGAAAAATTGTGGTTTTCCTGTAAAATTAAGGTGCAATTTGGCTGCTGAAACATAGATGTGCATTGACTTTTTTTTTAGACCGAATCAGACACAGATGTGTTTGTGATCTGAAGCAGGTGCTTCTTTATCCATCTTATGTTTTTTTTCCCATCAAAATTACATTTTTATAATTTGCATAATAAAACAGCATACAGTAGCCTATGTTTAAAAATTACATGTATTTTGTATGTGATGCCTGTCATAATACAAATATCTGAGTCACGGCTGTGTTATTTGAAGGAGAATGGTGGAATGGCACACACATTTTATCTTTTTGTGAGTCATATCAAAGGCACTGCCAATGTTTTTTGTTCATTTGTTGTTGATCTAACAGATTTTTAGCATTGCATGCTATTTGAGAATTTCTTCCCTACAACATTCTAGTGTCAGGCACTTGCAGATACAAACAAACCACAGCCCTGCAAAACCACAATTGGCCAAAAGGCCATTAGATCCAGGAGATGCTGATCTTGACCTTGTTTCTAGATGATTCCAGACCATTTAAATGAGTCCACTACCTGTTTTGCCATCTTTTTTATTCCAGACCACAATATCCCCTAAAACAGGTCAGACTTATGAATAGGAGCTCAGAAAAAATCACTTGTACCTGCCAATGGTTCCACATCTGGAGAGCAGAGACTAATTGATTTCCACAGGAGAAACGTTTCACCTTGACAGCAGCATACTGAGGTCCTCATAAAAAACATCTGCTTTGGATATGATTTCTTTGTTGGGTCATGAGCACTGGGTTGGCACAGACCCTTTAACTGAAATTCTTCGGATTACGCCAGGGGGTCTTGATTCAGTAGTTCACAGCTGTTTGTGTTATGAGATAATTTATGTCATGAAATTAATTTTAAATTAGCAGCTATTAAACTGGAATTGTTTTCTGTAAAGCAATCTAATATGTAAACATTCAAAAAAAAAAAGAGAATTTGATATCTGATTTTAAGTTTTGTAAATCTTTAAACTGTCTTTTTATGTGTTTAAATTATTAGCCGTAACCTTCTACATGTCAAAAATTGACTTTATATGAGTTCAGGGCGAAATAAAATAGTACAGAGAAAAGAACATACAGAGGTCAGTGGTGATGAGATGGGGGTGTTGTGTTAACAGATGAAGACGGTGGGTAATATTTCCACCATATGCTTACATAAGCCTCATGCTTTTTGCAGGCAGAGGCCTAAGGAGGGCTTTGGATCTGTGGGCTTCTGCCTAAAGCTGTTCCCATTTATTTGTCCATTGCTGGACTTTTCTGCATTTTTGTTAATTCATTTTGCATTTTTGTTTGCTTTTGTTTGCACATCCCTGTTTATTTTCAGTGAGTCAGTGAGAAGATCTCTGATCTGAAAGTCGGTCGGTCTTGGAGAGAATTGAAGCACAGCCGCAGAGCTGGTAGTCATTAGGAGAGGGGAAAGTGACTCTGATGTCTGTTTGCACGGAAGAAAAGACAAACAACCCATCTAGGGTGAAATATAGAAACATAGTTGTGTTTGTAAATCTCATACAAGTGTTTAAGTGGAGAACTCTTGAAAAATGATCACGACAGCTGGCAGTAAAGCTCATTTTGTGATTGTTGTGATACAGAAAAGGGCTATGATTTACAACAGTTATATCTGTCATTCCCTTCAGTCAAAACAAAGCCATTGTTGTGTAAAAATCCGGTCCTTCATATTTGGAATTGACATTTGAACTCAGACTTGCAGCCATTGATTCTACCGCTGTCCTCCTGCTGTCTCAGGGTTGTATTTTAAATCAGGTAGATGACAGGGGAAAATAATAACCCTCCTCATCTTTTCCTTTTGCTTTAGTATTATGGAAAAGGCATACTGGCACTGTGCTGAAGTTTGTCCCATGAGATCCAATCGGAAAATTCATTGTGGTAAAATATGAGGTCAGGACAAACGGTCTTTTATATTTATGTGGGAGACACACAGAAATAGAGAGATTTGACTTTATACATTTGTATTGTGAGTGTGCAGTGGTGTCTATCAAAGGGAAATGGTCACTGGATGACAGGACCTGTATTTTCTCTCAAGATGTTTCCTTTTGTTTGTTTCTGGTAAACTCCCTGGTGTTCTTCAGAATGAGAGGAGGATACAGTAGAGACCCGAGGACTCGGATATTTTTTATTTATCTTACAGACAATGAATTGTAAACACCAATACATTAAGTAATGGATCCTCAAGCACAAGCACAAATGGAAGAAAGATTTGCATGGAAAAAATTTCATTTCATTTGGATTCAGATTTTGTTGGCAGCACAGGAAATTGCCCCCTGTGTTTCCTCTGTTACTCTCTCTGTGTCTTCTCTTGTGCCCAGGACATCCTGAGACCACCATCTGGCAAATACCTGCCCTCTTTTTCTGTCTCTCCTTCTCACTCTCATCCTGTTTTTTCTGCCTTGTTGTTGAAGATATATGACCTGCGCATATCAGGTTCATAGTCTTTAGATGCATTTAAAATCTGCCAATTAGTTAAGATATATAAATATCTCAATAACACACACTACTATTCAAAAGTTTGAGGTCAGTATGATTTTTTAAGAAATAAATACTTTAAGTGAGAGGAGCAATAAACTGTTAAAAAGTGACAGTAAGCCATTTATAAAGTTACTAAAGATTCCTAGTTCAAATAAATGGTGTTTTTTAACCTATTCATCAAAAAATATAGAAAAATATTATGTCTGCAGAATATATTAATCGCATAGTAAAAAGTATGAAGTAAAGTTTGGAGTCAGTACATTTTTTTTATATTTAGCAAGGTGCATTAAATTGATCAAAGTGACAGTAAAGACAAAAGATTTCAAATAAATGCTGTTCTTTTGAACTTTCTATTCATAAAAGAAACTTAAAAAAAAATATGTATCACAGTCCCCACATAAATATTAATTGCAAATTGTAATAATATTTCACAATATTTCTGTCCTTACTGTATTTTTGATAAACTAAATGCAGCTTTGGTGAGCATAAGTGCCTTTCAAAATAAACTGTAGAAAACTTTAAAAATTACTACTTTTTACTACTAATTACTACTACTTTAAAGTTTAAATCCCATTCAGAGTTTTGAAAATGCATTTGGTCAGTATGGCAAGGGACTCTTTAACATTTAAGAAACCTCTGGATTGGGGTTAAAATATTGTCTTCATTGTGACGGGAGTGAGAGGAGGAGAATAGAGTCACCTTCAGGGCAGACAGAGAGCGATGCATTTCTTTTTCTGTGGTTTACTTTCAAATGCTCAGATTCAGAAACATCTGGTTATTTTTTCAGCTGTAAAAAGGCGATAAAAAGACGGTTTTAATAAGGAGCAGGCATCCTCCTCGCGCTCCAGAAGGGCTCTGCAGCGATGGCCAGTTGAGTAAATCAGAAAGCTTTAGGAGGAATGTACTGGCAGCGAATGGACTTCCTCTGGCGAGATAAATGATGGCAAATGGGTGAAGCAGTGATATTGTGTGGTACCAAATCCCTGAACTCCCTCATTCAAACGTTATCTCAGCATTATCCCCATGCACACATTTTATCAAAAGCTATAAGAGAAACAGCAGATCTTTAAGCTGGCAAACAGAAAAATATTTTAGCGTTGCTTTGCAAAAATATTTTGCCGGAAAACTATGAAGGCTTTGGTTTCATCATGCACCTGGATTCAGTCCTAATGCCTTTTCTGAGTGCTGCACTCCTCTTTGCACTTAGGGGAGGCTCAGTGTTGTATGTCACACTCGCTTGAATAGATCCAGGTCTGATCCAAATGTTATAAATAAAATTGGGGAAAAAATGTAAAAATATGGACATGAATTCATTCATCATTATCATCAGTAAAACCTGCTGCAGTTCCTCCATCTGTCTGCACAGGCATAGCGGCCACCTCATTCTGATCCAAATGTTTGTTATTCTGTCTCATAAATAAATGGGCCTCTTAAGGTAAATTCCTGTGTGGGACAGCTTTACTATACCCAGGACATCCAGTACTGCCCAGGCAGTACAATAAAACACCACAGACAAGGGAAAAAAGCACACATATGAAAAGTTCCTTACAGTTTTTTAAAATTGCTTTGGCGCAATTTTCACAAGCGATTGGTAAATTTTCAAAACTCTTAGTACCAATATCACAACAGATCATCAAAAGTGCACTTTTTTCAAACATTTCAGCATATTTTCAATTGTGTTCGTACAATACACACAATCACAATATCCTATTCACTACACAAAATAAGTGTTTCATCTATATAAATGTTTCATTCACAGTAACTGCCTTTCATAAAGCTATTACTAGCAAACGTTTCGTTTGCATGACTTTTCATTCAGTTTAATACATTTGTCTATTATTGAATCTATCTCATCTTAATGGTTAATCAGTGAATCATTTGGTGCATGTATAGATATACTGTAGATTCAATAGATATAGTTTCTATAGAACATGATTGCAATTTAGGGATGACCAAATGCAATTAATTATTTTTACAATATCACAACAGATCATCAAAAGTGCACTTTTTTCAAACATTTCAGCATATTTTCAATTGTGTTCGTACAATACACACAATCACAATATCCTATTCACTACACAAAATAAGTGTTTCATCTATATAAATGTTTCATTCACAGTAACTGCCTTTCATAAAGCTATTACTAGCAAACGTTTCGTTTGCATGACTTTTCATTCAGTTTAATACATTTGTCTATTATTGAATCTATCTCATCTTAATGGTTAATCAGTGAATCATTTGGTGCATGTATAGATATACTGTAGATTCAATAGATATAGTTTCTATAGAACATGATTGCAATTTAGGGATGACCAAATGCAATTAATTATTTTTACACTAAAAGTATTTTATTTAAGATGATAACCACTATTTTGTAAGGGTGTGTGTGTGTGTGTGTGTGTGTGGTTCAGGTAAACCCTATTTAATGGGGACGAAATGTCCCCACAAAGATGGCAATATCTGAAATCATTGTCCTTTTTTGGGTCCAATGAGAAAAAAATTAATTTTCGTAAGGGTATTTAGGAGTAGGGTTAGTGTAGGGGAGACAGTATAAAACCCATTACTCCTATGGAATGTCACTAGGAAAACC